GCAAACTCATCACTTTGGTCTCAAGATGTTGTGGCCAGCCACAATCCCCACGACTAGCAATAAGCCAGTCATTTGGTGTTTTATACGGCTTAGTATGTGAAGTTAAACTTTGCTAAAACATCTGTGAAAAGCATTGATCTGAGGGCATTGGAAAAGCACTGTGTCACCAATGATCTATGACGTCAGCAATGTTATAGCATGGTTTGCAGTATATTTCTGGCACCTGCTAAACACAATCCTGATTAAAGCTGCTTTGTTTAGCAGCAAATTGTGGCTCAACTTGCTCATACAGCGAAATGGCAACGTTTCAGCATATGTTCTGCACATGCTCACGCTGGAAGTGTTAACGAGCGCAGACCTATACTAAGCTTCAAGTTTCGTCTAGCTAGGATAGCATGATGTAACATGGTATGGTCTGTTGAACTTTGTTTGCATATTCGCAATGTTGTCACCACTACTTCGCCAAAGTGTCAGTTTTTGTAACCAATCAGATCCGGTAAATCAGAAGCTTTTTTCTCCAACTGTCATCCACATACAGGAGAATGAGAACGCATCAATTTCTTGGCGACTAAATCACTTGCAACAACTTAAATAGATGATATTTAATGCGCCTAAAAACTTGAAAAATAGTTTGAAAAAGATAAAAGTCCGTGTTTAGAAAGACCTTGAACCACTTTCAGCCCACCTCCATTCACTCTGTGGATGTTGTCTGTTGCCTGTACTCAGTTCACCTCATATCTGAAAATGACCTCTTACTTCCGCCGTCGCAGCACGCGCAACAACCGTGTCAGTCTACGGGGGACACCCTTCTCGACGCTGTCATATGGCTCGCAGGGGCCGTCGATAATCATCATGTCCCGTCGCTCATGACGACCGACCTCACTTTCGACGGCGTCGATCATGGCGTCCTCCTGAGAGAGCTGGCGTGGTGTGGTGTGGCCTCCGGATGGTCCCGGAAATATCTGCACCATCGGAGGCAAGTGGTAGGCGACCCTGAGCCGTTACCGCTGTCACACGGTGTGGCCCAGGAATCCCCGGTGCGGACCAGTACTGTTCATCTTCATCAACGATCTCTCCAGGTTCCTCTTCCATGGCCGCCTCCTATCCCACGCCGATGACACCCAGCTGTTCAATACTTGCACATCCGACGTTATCGGCCTGTTTCACCTCAAATACCGTGTCGTTGAGTCCATGTAGTACATCTAAGTTTGGTTGCAATCAAGCAGTCTAAAAATGGGCCCCGAGAAGACCAGCTGAACTCTTATTGGCAAAAAATCATGCATTTAAGACTGGCAACTTCCACATCGACATTTCAGGCTCTACTATCCAATCCTCAACAACAGTGAAGGTACTGTGTGTACTCCTCGACCAACGCCTGACATGGGAGACCTACACCGCCACGGTCGTTCTACGTTGCAACACCACACTCACGTCGTTATTCAGGGTTCAGCACCACCTCACCCCTGATGTTTTGACGCTTCTCGCTCATACGCACGTTTTTCCGAACAGACAGTACTGTCTGTTAGTGTGGGCAGGCATCGCCGACTGGTATCTGAGCTAGATCCAAAAGAAAATTCACTTTGCCGCCAGGCGGATGACCGGCACCCGCCGCTGCGACCACCTTACACCTACACTAAAATCGCTGGGACGGTGCAGCTTGCCGGCATCACGTCCTCGAGCCTAGTTAGTACGGATCCTTGCTAAGAGAGGAACCGTGTTTAGTACCGATTCGTGCTAAAACTGGCAGAGTTTAGCACGCATAGATACGAAACAACGCAGTTTGGTAACCCAGGGTTCAACAGCGGAAATGAGGCATTTATAGAGGTGAACCTCGTGAAATTTTTTTCGTTCTATGGAAGTGGAAAACTTTCACCATTTTGGCATGCCATTCTGATTTAATTGCGAATTGCTTCAAGGACGCAGTGGGCCGATTGTTGGTCAGTGGGGAGCATGGGCAAGCGGTAAGGAAACGTGCCCGGAGAAACACTTGCACCTAATTTGCAAAACAGCATTTTCTACGGGATGAGTATGATATTGATATATCTTGGACTACAGGCGTTGGGCCATATCGTCTTGCGGTAGTGCGGATGATGGAATACTGTTCTCGGGCTGTAGTGTTTTGCGTTAGACATGGGCTTGGCTCAAATTTCGTGGGTCACCTAAGGAATGGCCCACATAATTTAGGATCTGATTCAGCTCATGACTCATACGTGTTCTATTTTTTTATTTGACTTAGTTCCGATGCAGCGCTTTCATTGAGTCATTTGACTAATAACTGATGTAGGCTGTAAAAGTAAAAAATTCTCAGCTGAGATTTGGGAGATTTCAGGATGAACAGTATGGTGTTTGCTGCTTAGAAATAACAACAAACTCATGACGCCGCAAAAGACGTTGTACTTAATGCTGCATGGTGTTCATTTTAGCTCCCTGAAATTGCATGTTATTTTCCTAGAACACAATATATATCCTCATCCTGCCAACCAAGTTCAGCAATATGACTGAGTAGTTACTGACGCAACATTGTTGGAAATGATTGGCTCATGATGCAGCTTATGAAATGTGTGACAAATACGTTTCAGGTCATGACCCAAAGCAGCATTTTTCCTAGTGAACAAACGCAGCCAATAACTCGTCCCAAAATAATTGACTCATGAGCTCATTCACAATTCACCTGGCATCAAACAAGGGTCTGGTTAGCATGTGCATATACGTGTGAAAAAAATGCTGCATTTGGGTACATGGTTACCTGGTTGTGGTGATCACATCAGGCAAACAAGCATTAGTTTTGCATGTTGATTGTGCTAAATAATTTATGTGGATCCTGGCTGAACGTTTATATATATATATATATATATATATATATATATATATATATATATATATATATATATATATATCCTCTGGTTCATGGCTGATACTCAGCAAACGTCTGGATGAATAGCATCAAGTGTGTTGAAAAAACCCTGGTAACAAGCACACAAATGCCCAATATGCTGTTGCGTTCACAAAAACGAACACGAGGAAAAAGCTGGATTCTTGTTACCTTGGCCCGGTACATTTTTATGGTTCTTGGTGCTGCCTGATGCGCAGTAATATTGTGAACGCGCGCAGTAATGGCGCCGGTGTCGCGGCTGCTGTGTGTGTGCGGCGCTCGGGAGCTCGCCATCGTAATTATAAAAAATCGAGGGTAAGAGCATGAATCTATCTGTTTTGTGATTATTTACGATATGCCCTGCCCTAAACATGACGAATGGTGCATAAGGATTTTTTCTAATGTTAGGTACGAAAGTACACCCTGACCACAGTCCACAATCTGTGAGCCAGTCCGGAGCTGGTTCAAGACATTGGAGTCAAACCCAAGTCTGATGCTAACTACATCTCGAGACTAGAATCCCATCCCTTGCGCTACCCGGATAACGATATCTTCTCCAATGCCCTGTAGTCCAGGATATATCATGATCATACTCAGCCGGTAGATAACACTCTTCTGTAAATTACGAGCGAGATTTTCTCCAGGCACGCTTCCCAATCACTTCCACCATCCCTCCGCCCCCCCCCCCCCCCCAACCGACCGACTTAGCCGCAGACTAGGATCAACTCGCATTCGAATGAAAATTGAGATCCCAAAATGGTGAAGGTTTTCTACTCCCATCGAAAGAAACGAAATTCACGACGTTCACCTCTACACAGCCTCATTTCCTCTGGGCAGCCTTGGGTTACCGGGCTGCTGTTTAGTATCTATGCGTACTAAATTCGCCACTTTTAGTACGAATCGGTACTAGACACCGTTACCCTCTTAGCAAAGATACGTACTAAATATTCTCGAGGATGTGTTGGCGGAGACGGTGAACCGACGCAACTGCGTCCAATGCCCCGCATTGCTGCATTCTGGGTAGGCGACGCTGTGACGTCAGCATGGGACTGATTCATATGGCACCGACGCTACGGCGGCGTGAAAACGTTCGTTGCGAACTAGTTAAAATGAAACGTTTTCACAATCCGAATTTTTCGGCGTAGCACATTCAATGAAGCATTTTCAGCTGGGAAATGGCGTTGGTTTGCACCACAACCCCAGAATCACTGTCGAAATGCGCTCCCAACCCGCCCCCGACAGAGAGAAGGGGTAACTCACTCATCAGTGATTTATTCTGAAGAACTAACCACAAGTGCCTAGAGACAGTCTGTGTAAAAAAACACAGCATGCATACAAGAATAACAACATAGGGTGGGGATGAAAAACGGCAGGACAGACGGACTCACAGTACCCCGGGACGCACATTGAAAATTGGACTGCACATCCTGTAACCTTAAAACGGGCGGCAGAAGTACAATCATCTACACAGAGTTACAAAGCGGCCGTTGGTACCAAGGGCTGCACAAATGTTATCTACAGCCGGGTCGCGTCCGAAGCTACGGCGTGCCATCCACGTTTCCGCTTTCTTCATCCCATGAGCGGCGCAGGTGATGAGTCAACTTCACACAGACCTCAACTTGGCACCTGAGAGGTGAGGCCTGCTGGTGTGCTATCCGTCGGCTCGCACAAATCCTCCATCACATAGTGATCGCTGGGCGCAAGCATAATGTAGTAGGACGCCACACAAGCGTACCAATACCAAATGACTCCGAACAAGACCATCCCAACCGTCACACTGATGCAGAAGAACGCGATAAACACGCCTATGGGCCTAATCGCTTGTATCGCCCATACCAGAAGAAATATGCACAATACCACCCAGAGCAAAGTGGTGACGGCTATGAAGATGCCGTACCAAACTACCCAGGGTAGCATGAACTTGCGTTGGTTTCTTCTCATGCCATGGATAAGTAAACTGTTCACCGCTATATTCGTGACGCACAAACCCATCAAACCAACGAGAACGCAGCTAAATACCACGATATGTTCGTGGTCGGCATATCGCCTGTAATTTCTAGTCACTGCTTCATATATGGTATAAATCGTGAGGCCGAGGATGGCACAGCTATTAACAACGATGTAGAGAATGGCGATGATCATGGCACCCGTCCGAAGAGGGACGCAGCAGCAGCAGCTGTTCGGCGCCATCTTGATGATCCACGGATGGATGACGTCAGTTCGGGTCTGGTCTGTAAACGGTAGGGGATGAGAAATTACGCTGAGTGCCAAGCAACCCCACAAAACGGGCCACTTGTAGAATCAGAGAAGCGCAGTGACCAGCTTCCCAAAACATTAGAAATGTGACAGGGTCACACCAGCATCCATGACAATGCAGTAACTAAGTTGCACCTGCATTAGCCTACGAAATACAATCGAATGAAAATCGGTCCGACTACAGCTTGTTTAAGCGTCTTGCAAAAACCGTTCATATATGAGAACACGGGAAACGGTAGTTTCCTGCCGGGAAATAAGTTTTCAAAACCAGTCGCAGGGACTGCAGAGGGGGAGAGGAGCTGCTCACAGAAAATATCTAAGCCTACGCTCCGGAGCCGCTAAAACGCATTTCTCCCCAGAATCGCCCCAATTTCCGTCCAAAGTTGGGGGAGACCATTAGCCCAGGTTTCCTGTTTGAAAGCACATTGCTAGCAATCATGAGATAACGGCTAACCTCAATTCGTCAATTGGCCCTGCGATGCTGTAAGCAATACACTTTCAAAGGAGCTCCTTTCTCCATGGAACACTTTGGGTGTGCTGCCACATACTGCAGAGTTTCGAAGTCAGTAGCGTTGCTTCCCACGTCCGTCCTTGCAATTTCCAAACGAGTCCTAGAAACATTATTCGTTTTCACAAAATAAGAGAAATACACAAGAAATGATCAGACATATAAAGGTATCTACGGGCCCTTACTTCATCGTGGTATCACGTAACGTAACTACTTCTTCAGTATTGGGGTCACGGACTCGTTCTTAAAAAATGCACAGACCGAGTACCTTCCATCATCTTTGTGGTCTTTTACTCTGTCACAAGTTATTCCGTTACCACATCTCCCTTACTTTTGGTTTAACAAGGAACGTTCTACATTCAAAGATATTGAAACAAGCATCAGATACCACACAATAATCTCACTTACAACCGATGGTATGATTTTTCGCTAACGAACTGCTGCAGACAACACAATTTTCCTGCTTAGATAATCCGCTCATTGACACGTCATTATTTGATTGCGTCGCCGTAACTTGCGCAACATTGATTGAGAGCCAATTGACGGCCGATATATCTGGTAATCGTCCTCACTAACGCCAGACATGAACGTCTCGACAACAACGTTTGAGTGCCGTAATATTGACGTCATGAATGCCAAGGTGACTTTGAAATACTCTCCCCGAATGGTTCCTCCATTTTCGCGGGCGTGTAGCATAAAAACTTGAGAGGCTTAGGTCTCAAGAAGGGCAGAGTTGTGAACAGCACCGAAAGGTCTTCAAGATGGCTATTTCGGTTCAAAATCCCATGTAAATTTTGAACACTCTCTTTCAGGCACAAATGTAGGGGAATCATAACTATCACAAAGAGAAAGGGGTTACCTTGACCAAGTTTTGTGCGTTCACTTCCTGGACGCCGTTAGGTATGCTGCATTATGGGGCAAATATTACGACTTTGAAACGCTGGAAAACGTTTACATGTAACTGCGGAAAAATGCATGAGCAAATAAATTTCTAGCACGTGTTTTGTGTCCCAGTCGGTTGGGGGAGGGGGGCTTCCCTGTACAGAAATACAAGGAAGTAAAAATGAGTACATAAATAAGGAGGCGAGTACATTTAAACATTGATATAAATATCTGAATATAACTTGGGTTCGACCTCCAGCCCTCTCCCCAATTCTGAGAACAAAATGAGCCAAATGCAGCAAGAAAGCCATTCATTGTGACATTTTTGGTGGAAAGTTTCAGGAGCTACCCTTCACTATTCAGTCTCACCCTCCCCACGTCCTTTGACGAAACTACACCCTTGTTCTAATGCATTTTTCCAATACGAGGAAGAAAATAAAAATGCTCTTGTCTCCATACTTCCTGCAGGGTGCCCAGCAAAAAAGGAAGCAAAACACAAATCACTGCAAACACACTAGCTACGAATAATCATTCATTAATCGGTGCTTGCTGTTAATATCGCTGCCAGATCTTGAGCCATCCGTACAATCTCGGGCTCTGGAGAGCTGTTTCAGAGGGAACAAAAATATCCCCTTAAAGGGAATGCTCCACCTTTGTATGGGGTTTTGAATTGAAATAGCCATCTTGAGGACCTTTTGATGCATGTCACGGATGTGCCCTTTTTAAGACCCGAAACGCTCTGATTCCTGAGTGACACGCCCGCAGTGTACGAGAAGGCTTCTTTAAAGCTTATTTCAAAATCGCCTTCTGATTAATATATGCTATAGAAACGTCACTGTATCGCCGTGATGCTACAGGCTGTCTTTTGTTTATAGTCAAAACAGCATGGCCGCTGATAGATTCGCAAAAGCGATGATGCTGCACATGTGGTACTACCCGCGGAAGACGATTGGTTGCTAATAAGATTTTGCTGCTGAATGCATGTCGCGAACGTAAGCGTGAGTATTTTCGGGTTGTGCGGCACTCGTCGACGGAATATTTTTCCCCATTCCTAGCCTGTGTCCTATTTGCGTCGGCGTGAGATGCCCAGCAGAAATTGTTATGTGTGCGGTGATCGCAGGATAAGGGAGAATCATTTGAGTGTGTTCGCGTAAGTACCGTGCTCCCAATCTGTTAGAAACACTTCACGCCGAATATGCCTGGCGTATCATCGACATCGCGGCAATAAGTTCAGGGTATGCACGTCTCAACATCGCGTGCAGTTTCGAGTATGATGTGCGGTCGCTTTCAATTTGTGTCACAGTTTGAGGAATGGGTGTGCAATTATAGCAATGTCCGGCAAAATTGCCTTAAAAATATAACAAAGTCATTGAAAAGCAGGTGCGCGCGGCAGCTGAACAGTGGGTGCAAGTGCTAGGAGCTGGGCCCATGGTCGCGACCAATTTCAGAAATGGTTTTGTTTATGCACTTTATTGTTAAAACAAAACGTTATACACCATGTTAATCTTGAGAGTAATTGACTAGGCCCAAGTATGGCGCATGGGTGCAGGTTTGGCTCGCAAGTGCTGATGGTCTGTGGGTGTGGCACGAGTTGATGGGTTTTCAAGAGTGAGTAGACAGGAATAACAACACTGCCACTACGCAGCCCAATGTGAGTGGCAGCAAACGCCTACGCATGGGATATTTCCTACCCATGTTGTGTGTGAAATATGGGAGTAACTTGTTTTGACATTTTTTAGTAAGTTCAGATATTTCTGCCTGCTCCCATCTCTCACCTTTCTCAATAAGTTTATGGAACTACACCTTGGCTATTTCATGTAAGTACATCCATAAACAGATGTGTAATCCAATATTTATCTTGCCAGTCAGGACAGGACCCGGGATATCAGTCTCAAAAGCTAATCCATTGCTCCATATCGCAGATATCATCAGTGTGCTGAACCTATCACTGTACTATATGTGCTATTATCAGATTCGCACTGAACCGAGCGCCCAGTTCTCATATGCCCGCAATGACATTACTGTTGGGATGTTGCTGCCACTATTTCAGAACACTAAATTTGCTCACCATTCACTAAAGTTGGTAACAGTTATGCCCCATGCTCACAGCTCGCAAAGTTCATGGGTGCATGGCCTCACCTCGTATTGCTTATTTTTGGGATGACGTGCACTTCAACATGTGTCAGGCATGTTTGGCAATCTAGATGTCATCTGTAGTCTGTGCTCCTGATAAATCACCACTTAGCACAATTATTAGGGCACACCCTGTAGGCAGATATTTTCAGTTTGGATTACTCATTTGAAGTAGATGATGCCCATTGTATTGCATAGTAATTGAATTTCTTAATCATAGTGGTCCTTTCAGATTCCCAGCTCAACAAGGTCACCTACATGAGTGGCTTGATGCATGTGGCATCAGTGTAGTGGCGCCTGGGCACGGAGTGTGCGAGGTACGTTTTTCACCGGAAGCTTTTTCAGCCTAGCAACCGAAAGGAAAAGGCTGAGGGCCAATGTTGTGCCATCTCCTTAGGTTTGTGAATGCCTGGGTTTTCTTTTTTGCCCGACCCTTCTTATTTAGCATTGGCATTCAGGCTTAAATTTAGTTAACGTTAGAACACATGTTAAATTTTTGTGGTCATCTTTTGTCTCATTCATTTTCATCTCTTCTTTCAGTCATTACTCATTCACCCACTTCAGTGTGGTACCTTTGAGCAAATGTCTACCAGTTAGCATACTGTGAAATTCATGGCAAGGCATTCAGCCATTTACAGGGCGCAGTATTGCTTTCGATGTAGCAATGGGGTAGATTTATGATGCGTTGGTCTTAAATTGCGTACTATCAATGGTTCATGTTAGCTGAGTTGACTGGGGTCTTCATTTTTAACATCAACAGTCATATGATGTGAGGAAAACATTGTTCAGTGTTATACTTGGAGCACATGCAACATTGTTATCCTATAACCTGTACGTTGTGACAGTTTTGTTCATTGTTAATCTTACTGACGATGGTGATTGATGCACTGAATTATTTTCAGTACACGGAAGATGTTCCAGGCACCCCAGTGCTTCCAGCGTCTAGATTATCTCCCAGACCAGAATCTAGGTCAGAGTGTTTTCTTTTGGGGTTGGATTTTGAACGTTACTTAACTTTTCGAACAAGAAGATTGAAATTTGTCTTAGAAACAATAATACTGAGAACTGAAGTAAGTAGTAGCATAAAGATGATTAAATTGGCAATAGTCAGTGATACTGACATTGTCTTATAATGACCATATCATGCCAAACACCAGACACATAGCAAAACCTATAGGGACTTGAAGGACTATATGACACACCTATAGGACTAGAGGGACTAGCAGCCAAATATCTCTCTCTAGTTAGCAAAATTGCACATTTTGATGTAGTATTGTAGACAGTGACTAGCAGCCAAATATATCTCTCTAACTAGCAAAATTGCACATTTTGATATAGTATTGTACAGGCAGTGCTGTACAAGCACTTATGCAGCTTGTTTGAATCCATAGTTTTCTCTCCCACGACCTATCCGCGTGCAGTCGCAAAAAAATCCGGAGCAGATTTCGAGGCAGCAGTGGCGGGCAGGGCCGGCCGGTGGGCTGTGCGGCGCCACTGACGGCGCATAACGTGTCTGGCGTCGGCTCGGGTCGCTGACGGCGCGCCAATGCGGCGGCGCGGCCGCAGGCGGACGCATCATCCGCACGTGCAGGTGACGTGCTCCACCCAGCGCCCGGCTGACGGCGTCCGCTGCGACGGCTCGCAGCCAGCTGTGGAGATCAGAGGTCGCGACCGGTCGGCCGCTGGCGCCGTCTACGTCCAGTACACCTACTCTGTCACATTACACTTGAGTCGGGCTCGCCGTCCGCACGCTTCAGGACCTGTCTCGTGTGCTGGGACCCTCGTCAAGGTCCAGCATACCTCCCCAAGCACCTTTTGCGTCTGTAAGAGCCCTTGTCAAGGTCCAGCACACCTTCTGTGTTGCCTTCCATGTGAGTCGGACCCTTCGTCAGAGTCAATCCAGCACTCGTACTCCATTGCTTTCGACGACGACCGGGCCTCTTATGAAGGACCACTAAAACCACTCCGTCGACTTCCACGTGAGTTGGCCGCCTGGTCATAATCCAGTAACCCGCACCTTCATCCTCCACATGAATCGACTGACCGCGCCCGTCCGTTGTGCTCCAGTACGCGGTGCTTGTCCATTGTCCGCTGGTAGACCGCGCCGCAGACCGCGCCAGTTTGCTATCGCTCTCAGGAGACGCGCATCTCAAGTGGTCGTCGCGTTCGGACTACCTGCTGGACTCGCTGCCGAACGCCAACATCCAGTGGTGCTTATCGGCTCCGATGTCCAGACGCTCTCACACTCGGTGGGTCACTTGCGGTACCTGCGGTGGTCCTCGCGCTTGAGCCGTATTCGGGCCGGCCCCGCGGTGATGGCTGTCCGTGCCATGGCTGACACTGCAATGACACTGTCCTCGTGCCTGGCGCTCTTTCAAGATGTGGCAGTATCACCGGGACTGTGCGGCACCCGCCGTTTGATGGGGATTACTGTGGTTTGGTGGTCCGCGCAGTGGGATGAGCGGGGGGCGCCTAGGTGTTTCGTTGTTGCCGTTAAGGCCGTTTTAATTTTTGAGAAAGTGGATGCATGATGCAATGACGTGGATACATGCCGTTCATCGTATACTGAAAATTAATTCAAGGAGTTAACATCTACCGCATAAGTCACTCAGTTTACCGTTTTTATCCTGCCCGTGTTGCGTCGTTGACCTGTACCAGCACCGGCGCTGGCTTCTGACCACCTGCACCAGTATCGACGCTGACCTCCGACCGTTCATATCAGCGTCTTGTGTTGACCTCTGGCCGGTCCCTGCTGTGTTCGCGTGCCTGGGCTCCCTGTCGCCGATCAACCGCGGCTCGCTGATGACCTGTGGTCTCGTGCTGTGCGTCTGCCTGGGTGCGCCCGCCGGCTGCGTGTCCGCCCGAATCTACAAGCTGGGAAGTCGCGGCGAGAAGTGGTGACTCAACGTGCTGCTGACGTTGACGCTGTGCCTGAGGTGAGCCGTGCCCAGCTACCGCCGCGCTACCGGCACCGGGCCGTCGCTTTCTCTGGACAGTGTGCACCGGCGCGGACGAGTCGGCGCGGGTCAGCGCCCACCCGCCGCGCTGGCGCAGAATTTGTACCGCTCATGCGCGGATCCTATTTGTGTCATTTCGGCGTCGCTGTAGATTTAGAACTTGATGGAAACGCACTTGGGTGTGACATGTACCACGCTTGGAAAATTGCCACGTTTGAATCGGCTGATGATGCATTGTGTGCGGGAGGCTGTGCCGTTGAGTCCTGCTCCCAATCGCAGTGGAGTGGGTGAACGCGGCAAACGTAATCGTGGTCATTGACAATGCCTGTGCCCCACAGAAGAGAAATCACTGTTCTCAGGGGTCGGGTGAGACGTCTGTTCCGCTCGATGCCGTGGCTATCGCGGTTGGGGTCGGGCCGCTGTGGAGTACATCGATGATGCTCCTACTGAGCCCCCGCCTACTGTCCGTCTGCAGGATCGTGTTCAGCATCACGCTGCTGCTGAACTGGGTGCCGTGGGCGTACGACTCGTCGGCAGCGCTGCATTCCTCACCAGACTGACGCTGACGGGCTCTGTTTTGGCGTGTCTGTGCCGGTCACTTTCGTTAACACCTACTCCGCCTTCAAGAAGCACGTGCCAGAGCACCCGGTGAGCGCTGGACGCGGACTCTGTTCTAGGGCCTTGGTCGCGGACGGGCGGCGGCCGCGGGACTGTACTCGGGCGCTGGGCGCGGACGGACGGAACCCATCGTAGACAAGCGTATGCAGGTCGCCATCACTGGTCCGTCGGAGCACTGCGGCGTGGCACACCCAATTGTGCACCGCGGACATCGGCCGGACGAGAGTCGAGAGAGCCTGGCGGACAGCCGCACCCGGCACGCCGATTCCAGTAGTTTACATTTGTCATGACTAGCTAACCCCGCTTTGCTCGCCCTGGTGCGTGATAGGCATTGTCCATTGAGGATGGCTGCTCCTGGAGGAATGTCACGTGATATTTGTTGGGGAGTGAAATGTTAGTTTTCATTATCGTTGGATGCAGAATGTGCCTTGCCAAATATGTGTCTGCATCTTTGTCACCCACGTTTTGTGGATTCACGAAACAGGCTGAACAAGTGAAGTCACTTATTGGTTGTGTGCTTTGCTGAAAGTGATTTGTATACTGTATCCTGTGTTTTTGCCAATCATATGTCAGATGCAGAGTTCATACAAGAGAATGCATGCTTGACCCATCTTCTCATGATGACATTTATTATAAAAGCAGCGAGGGATTGCAGTACAAAAACCACATCATTGTTCTTTATGCCATGACACAGTACAGCACTGAAGAAGGCCACGTTGACACTGTTAACCAGTACCATTTCACAATGTACCACATTGGTTTACTGCTCTATGCCATGCCTATGAGGAAACAGTTTAAAATTTGTGAATGATTGGTAACAGCTGACTTAACGCTGCCAAACGACTATTGCGAGACGGAATACCATAGCACCACAATGATTATATCAGGGCTAACTAGTGATTGCATAAATAATCATCTGCAAGAAAAGTATTCTTGATGGCTCAACCCTACCATCATTACCATAGAAATAACAATGATTTGGCGATCAATTCATAGCAATGTTACAGACTCATTGTTAATTTTTGCATGTGGCTGCACCTCAAGTCACAAATAACAAATAAAGCAAATACTGCGTACATCACATGCTATCAATGTCACGACTACATCACAGCAGGCAAAGACAAGTCGACAGTTCAGTATCTACATTCTCAACAGTCCTGGGCAAGTTTCGGTAACAGATTCACGAAGCTACAAGACGGTTTTCACAGCATATCGTGCTTTTTATCGTGCAGGTTCTTAAAAATTTGCCATAAAAGCCGGCGATCGCTACGTTGCGTATGTCAAACAGTTCACCAAAGGTTTTCCCGCGACCAGGGCCAAGACAAAGACCCACCAAAAAACCATTCCCTGACTGGCCACCCGACACAGCACCCGCCACCAGAATGCCCAGCTGGCGTCAGCTTTAGCGCGTTTAGAGGTATTCTTTAGGTCTGGCTGCCAGATGCTGCCAGGTTTTGCCGTCGTCACAAACCCATTCCATGACGCATCAAACCATGACGTAATGGGTCGCATTTTTACAAACTTCGAAATTTTGCTAATTGAGTCGTTTTTGAGCCTTGAAAACTTACCAATAGTTACTAGTAAGCTTTCCCGATAATATCTGATGCGTATCTCAATATCTTCAAATGTGGAACATTCCCTTTAATAAACAGGTCCTGATGGAAGTTGAGAGGGCCCCGCGAAGGTCTTGCGAAAAAACTACACCATTTGACACATATAGACTTTTCAAACCATGGTACAATAATGGTCAAGCTATAATTGTCTTTCCCTCCTGCCTAAGCCCGTAGTGGTTCTCTTAATTAGCCATTTGCAAAGCTCAGCAATGGCTTGTTCGCATGACAACCTTATCAGGGAGAAGCGTGATCTCGCTGAAGTTGTCTGCGTCCTACAAATGGTAAAAGCCCACTCGAAATGCCTTCCCTTCTATAAAAATTCCCAACATAGCGGAACATAGTCTGAACTTTTCACGACACGGGTATTACCAGAATATCTGTCGTGGTAGATTTTCACCAAAGAACCAACGGCAAGTTCTAAAGCATGATGTGCAAACCTAGCCAACATCTGAAAAGCTTTGTACTTATATCTTCCTCTCAGAAAACTACAACAATGGACATATTTTAGCTTCCACACACTTCACATGACCTTGGACAACCTACAAAGTAACTTCAGAAACGGGACCAGAAAACGAGATGCTGCTTGCTGTTGTTTTCCTGCCGCGTTTTAAAAAGCTCCGGGCAACATCAACAGCAACCCAGTTGGGCACATATACAGAACTAATAAGTGAAGCCGTTAGCAGCGCTAAGCCGATTACATCGCACAGACGGCACGCAATGGGCACAGTGAAAGCTATGAATTTAGGTGAAAATGAAAAAAGTGGAAGCTATATCTCCCGTTTACCTTCTCCTTTCGACGTGTGATGATAATGTTAGATGCCGCATACGCACATTTAATAGCTCATTTATAGGGCACGCTGAGGCAGTCAAGTTATATCTTTCAAACCACGGGTGTAGGTACAGAGGGAGAGAGCAAAGCGGACCACCGCCACCAACTTTTGAGAGCGTCCAACAAAGTATGGTGATGCATGAGAATAATCGACTAAAAAGACCTTGTCCTTCACCTAACCTTTTTGAAACGTTCCTATACGCCTCTGCTCCATATATGTACATGCACGCGGGTGGTCTTATCACCAGAGGTTTGTGCTATCCGTAGGGGGGAATACAACTGCCTTAATAACAGACAACATTGCTAAAATCCGAGGATAATAACACAAAGAACAGAAATTATAAGTTTCTCTCTAGCTTAGACACCATCAAAAGAAGGGTATTACCCACTTACGATTCCCGTTCTCAAATAATCGCTTCACTGTCCTGCATCTCACCTTGCCACTAGAACATGGTGACCTGGGGTCGGGTCAAAGGCCCCCAAAAACGGCCAAAACCATCTGTATTTAGTTTGCAGGCAATCCCATGCCCGGAGTCCACGGGACCGATCGGCATGAAAGCTTCACCAGTCGATGCGCCATGGCCGATATCCCATCCTGTCCAGAATGTGGCGACCTTTTATGGTGATATTTTATTATTTTTAACCTGACCCAAGGTCACCATGTTCTGGAACAAATGAGATACCGACCATGGCGCATCGTTTGGTAACGGTTTCTTGCCGATCGGTGGCACAGGTTGGAAGCATGGGGTTATCTGCAGTCAATTTTGGTGCTTTTGGCCGTTTTTGCTGGCCTTTGACCTGACTCAAAGTCTCCACATTTCAAAGACGACAGGATACCGACCATGGCGCATCGGCTGGTGAGGGCGTCATGTCAACCGGTGTCATAGGCTCGCGGCATGGTGCTGTCAACAGGTTTGGCCGACCGTTTAGTCCCTCTCTTCAAGACCTGAGTCCGAGCGCTGCTATGCGCTCGGTCGCGCACGTTAAACGCCTCGGACTCGTTCCCGTCGTTCCTCTAACCTTACCCACGCTCTCTCACACTTATCCCATCGTTCCCGTCGTTCCTCCAACATCCTCCTGGCCCCCCAAAAGCTCGCCCCAAATCTCCTCCGACCTGTACCGAAATAAAAGACAGTTTTCGGAGGAGTTGAGAGGAGGCTGTGGTAAACGCTAGTAGCGCAGTGCTGTGCGTACAAAGTAACTTGGAAAAGAAGGCACCTTAGATGTGCAGGACAGCGAATAGATCGTAAAACATCTCAAGCAGTTATCTTACTAAAATTAGCTCGTTGGTCTTTGTTCCATAATGACCCCACGACGCTGCGCAAGAAAGATCTGTCGGCATTTCTTACCTACGATCCAGTAGAGGGACCCTGAAGTGTGCCGCCTTCTTCAGATTAATGACGCACCGCACCAAACCCCACCACCTGCCCCAACTCGTGACGCGGCGGCGCCCCGCGCGGCTCCCTAACCACGCCAGTCAAGGCCACTGGACGTCTGACGCGTGCGTCCATGTTGTGACACCCACGAGCCATCTGTTGTCAAGTTGTATTACTTCAGTTACTTTCACTTGCCGCAGCGTCACGCTTGTATCGCTTTTTTACACACCCGGAGATGGATCTGTACGACTGGCCGCCCTTTTTATGAGGAAAAGCGTTTCTAGGCAAGGAAGACGCTCGCTTGAAGCCGTCAAATATCCATTCTTCTACATGGAGCAAGCGTGACACACAGGCACAGGGGCGGATCCAGGATTTCGTCAATGGGGGAACACAACATTGTAGGGCCCCTTTAAGTTAAAGACCCCCTCCAAAATATACCAAAATGTATTCCTACATTGCGGTCAGTACATTATAGATATAGATATAGATATAGATATAGATATAGATATAGATATAGATATAGATATATATATATATATATATATATATATATATATATATATATATATATATATATATATATATATATATATATATATATATATATATTGACCCAGATAAAGAGCCCTCGATCAAAGTAGAGGGCCCCTGAGCATCGAGTGCCTCTGTGTATTACCTTATAAACGCCCCAGCAACAGCACGAGGCCCTCCAAGCATGTCGAAAGAACCCGAGACTAATATGAAGAGCCCCTGAGCAACTGAATGCACCCTGGCATATGGGGCCCTGGGAAAAGCGTATACAGCCTTTCGGGCGAGCGGGAAGAATCTGCGGAGGAAAACCTGCATCAACCAAGAGTACCCAGACATGGAAGCAGACCGCGTCCCAAGACAGCGTTAGGCCCTACGAGAAAATACGAAGAGATTAAGGGAAACGTGGAAAACTCCTTAGCGATCAGATTGACCCGGCAGATGGACTTATAGGGCCAGGGCAATCAACGGGGTGTTGCCTTTAAACAGCGTAATGGGCCCCAAAATTCCCCCAAGCAACACCTTCTCAGCCAGCGAAGAATAAACTCCGTTTACTTATGAACTCTACTTTTACTGACAGTTTTTGTTGGTCGTCTGTAGGCCCAAAGGCGTCCTTTTTTCTTGCGCTTTTGTTGTTGGAAAACTGCGCTCGCTCGGTCGATAATGGGCCCCTTCGGAGCCTTTAGGTCCCCTCGGTATGGTCCATGGGGGCATAGTCCTGTGTTTCCAGCCACCCTCTGCAACAGCCACCGGCCCGAGCAGCTTAGTAGATGGGATCCACCAACAACACAGGCCATCCGTTCAAATAAGAAATACGACACGATGTGGAGGGCTCCGAACGATCAAGTGTGTCCGAGCAGGTTGACAGATAAGTCCCCCGTCAAGAGCGTAGGACCCTTCATTCAAATGGGAGGTGCCCAGGACCCAATGAAGAGGGCCCCCGAATGATCGTGTGTGCCCGAACAGGTTAACAGATAGGGCTCCCAACAAGAACGCATGGACTTCCATTCAAATAGGAAGCACCCAAGTCCCAATGTAGAGGGCCCCGAATGATCGAGTGTGCCCGGGCAGATTATCAGATGGCCCCGACAAGAGGGTAGAGTCCTAAATTCAAACACCAAGACCCAATATACAGGGTCCCCGAACACTCTAGCGTGGCCGAGGGGTTGAACAGACGGGTTCCCCACAAGTGCGTAGGACCCTCCATTGTGATAGGAAGTACCCAGGACACAATGTGGAGGGC